CCGAGGGCTGAGCCTGCCGAGGAGACTGAAGACCTGATACTCAATCCGGCCAAGCCGGAGAGAGTCCTGAAGATCGGAGCCAAGCTCCCCGAAGACCTGAAGGCTGGCATCACCGAGGCCCTCCGCGCCTACTCCATTGTTTTTGCATGGGGGCCGGAGGATATGCCAGGAATCGACCGAAGGGTTATCACCCACCGCCTAGCGGTGGACCCTTCGGCCAAACCAGTACAACAACGAAGAAGGCCCCTCTCGGCCGAGAGAAGGGAGTTCGTGAAGAAGGAGGTATCTATGCTCCTCTCCATCAAACACATTAAGGAGGTGAAATATCCTTCTTGGTTGGCAAACGTTGTCCTCGCACAGAAGCCTCCTACCTTCCGCATGTGCGTGGACTACACTGATCTGAATAAGGCGTGCCCTATGGACCCCTTCCCTCTGCCGAACATCGATCAACTTGTGGATGAGACCGCGGGATGCGAGATTATGTCCTTCCTCGACGCATTCCGCGGGTATCATCAAATCTACATGCATGAGGAAGACGCTGAAAAAACTGCCTTCATGACACCCGAAGGCATCTTCTGCTATCTTGTGATGGCCTTCGGCCTCAAAAATTCAGGCGCCACCTACACACGCATGGTGGCTAGGGTCTTTCAAGCTGTCCTAGGACGCACCATGGAGGCTTACGTTGACGATATGATCGTCAAAAGTAAGAAGGCAAGCACTCACGCCGACGACCTCCGGGAGATTTTTGCCATCATGCAAAAATTCAACCTCCGGCTAAATCCGAAGAAATGCACCTTCGGCGTGCAAGGAGGAAAATTCTTGGGCTACATGGTCAGCCGAAGGGGTATTGAGGCCAACCCCGAGAAGATCCAGGCCATCATCAACATGGAGCCTCCACGCAACGTCAAAGAAGTTCAACGGCTGACGGGTCGCCTGGCGGCCCTCAACCGATTCCTCTCTAAGTCAGCCGAGAGGGCCCTCCCCTTCTTCCAAATCATGAGGAAGACAGCTGGCTTCCAATGGACATCTGAGTGTCAAGAGGCCTTCGACGAACTCAAGAAGTACCTCTCCTCTCCCCCAGTGCTCTCCAAACCGAAGGTGGGGGAGACCTTATACTTATATCTCGGTGTTAGCCCTGCGGCTATCAGCTCAGTACTAATCCGAGAGGAAGACGGCATCCAACATGCCATCTTCTACGTCAGCAAAACCCTCCGGGAGGCCGAACTCAGGTATTCTCCCGTCGAGAAGACGGTGCTAGCCATCGTTTGGACCGTCAAGAAGCTTGGCCACTACTTTCAAGCTCATCCGGTCCAAGTGCTCACTCATCAACCCCTCGGCGCCCTCATGAGGAGTCCCACTAGCTCCTCCCGGATGGTAAAATGGGCCATCTTCCTCAGTCAGTACAACATAGATATCCGTCCGAGGCCTGCCATTAAGGGCCAAGCCCTGGCAGACTTCGTAACGGAATGCACCGCAAGATCAACAACAGACGAGGAGCCTTCGACACCCCTCGATGAGTGGTGGACGCTCTATACCGATGGCTCCTCGGCCACCAAAGCATGCGGAGGAGGAGTGGTTCTGATCACACCCGAAGGCTTCCGCGCCTATTATGCCGTCCGCTTCTCCTTCAAAGTATCAAACAATGAAGCCGAATACGAAGCCCTCCTTTGCGGCCTTCGGCTGGCAGCGAATCTGAAGGCTAAGATGATCCACGTCAAGTGTGACTCCAAACTCGTCGTGGGTCAAATTTCCGGAGAGTACGAAGCCAAAGAAGGGAGGATGAAACAGTACAAAGAAGCGGCTAAGGAGTTGCTTAAGGTATTTGAGGCACATTCCCTCACCCAAATACCGAGGGCTCAAAACTCTGAGGCCGACATTCTATCCAAACTCTCAGATGAGTCCCCCGAGCACCTCTCAAAAATTGCAAGAATCGAGGAGCTCAGCCTCTCAAGCATCCACGCAAGCCCCATTATGAACATTAACCTGAGACCGGAGGATTGGATCTCCGACATCGCCACCTTCATCACCACGGGGCAACTACCCCAAGATGAGGCCCGCGCGAGATTGACAAAACTGAGGGCTCCCAGCTACACCCTCGAGAACGGAAGGCTTTACAAAAGATCTTACAACGGCACCCTCCTTCGGTGCCTTCATCAAGGTGAAGCCGAAGTCGCTATGGAGGAAGTGCACAGTGGCACTTGCTCAGCTCACCAGGGACCCTTCTCCATGTCCCGAAGGCTCATAGTTCAAGGCTACTTCTGGCCCACGATGGCTAGGGATTGTGCTGATCTAGCCCGAAGGTGCACCGCTTGCCAACACTTTCAGAAGGCCCCCGGCAGACCAGCGGTCAACTATGCCCCCATCAGCACCGCTATCCCCTTCTCCAGATGGGGGATTGATTTAGTGGGCCCTCTGCCGAGGGGTACCTCCAACAACCGATACATCATTGTGGCCATTGACTACTTCACCAAGTGGGTAGAGGCCGAACCCCTCGCCAGCATCACGGAGGCCCGGTGCCGTCGCTTTGTCCTCAAGAACATTCTCACAAGGTTTGGCGTCCCCCAACAAATCATCTCCGACAACGGGACCCAATTCGAGGCAGCCCCCTTCTGTGCCCTCCTTGAAGCTTGGGGCATCAAGCACACATTCTCTTCCGTTGCCTACCCTCAGGGCAACGGACAAGTAGAAAATGCCAACCGCACCCTCCTCGAAGGGTTGAAGAAGAAGCTGGAAGCCGAAGGGGGAGGATGGGTAGAAGAGCTCCATAACATCCTATGGGCCTACCGCACTACCCCTCGGCGTGCAACAGGTGAGACACCCTTCTCCCTATGCTATGGCTTTGAGGCTAAGGCTCCAACAGAAGTGACCCTTCCGACCCGAAGGGTGGAACAATATGAGCCCGAGGTCAACGACGCCAACATGGCCCTCGACCTTCATCTCATCTCAGAACGCCGAGAGCAAGCTTTCCTCAGGGCCGAAAACTATAGGAGACAAGTCAAAGGCTACATCGACGCCAAGGTCCGCTCCCGGGAATTCCAGGTGGGAGACTACGTCCTCCGACGAAGGGAGGCCAGTCTACCCACCGAAGGGGGAAAGATGGCGCCCAAGTTCGAAGGCCCCTACATCATCTCAGCCATCATCAAACCAGGGACATACAAGCTTAAACGCCCCAATGGGACGGAGGTCCCTAGACATTGGAATGTGCACCACCTTGTCAAATTCTATCAATAAGGCATGAGCGGCCAAGCCCTCATCCTCAGCAAGTGTGAATATCAATGGCCCAAGGCCCCATCTGTTTTTGAAGAATAATCAAAAGGCCAAGCCTTCATCACCTACATACTGTACAAGCGGCCCAAGGCCCCCCTTCTCTCCTACAAATGAGTGGCCAAGCCCTCATCTCTTCACCATGAAAGGCCCAAGGCCACTCCCTCTTATGAGGGGGAACAACAATTTAGGTACCAAGTACCAAGTGTATGGGTCACCCCCATCACCCTTTGAAAACACCAAGTGTTTTCTCACTAAGCCGTACCCCACGAGGACGCAATCATGCATACACTATGCATACTTTTACATACTCTTCTTAAAAAAAAAAAAAAAAAAAAAAAAAAAAAAAAAAAAAAAAACCCGAGGGGTGCAACCCCCCTCGGGTCCGGCTGGTACCAAGTGCCCCCGGCTATTTGTGTTCCACACGCAAATAAAACCCTTCCCAGGAACGCTTTCCGCGCCATCCCCCAAGGGGAGGCAGGCAACGGACCATGTCCCGGGCCCAGGATTCGACTTCCACAAACGAAACGCTCCCCGCGCTATCCCCCAAGGGGAAGCAGGCAACAGACCATGTCTCGGGCTGAGGGGACGACTTTCAAAACCGAGGCGCTTTCCGTGCTATCTCCCAAGGGGAAGCAGGCAACAGACGATGTCTCGGGCCGAGGAAACGACCCTCAAACCCTTCGGGATATCGGAAGGTCATTCCCGAAGGGGGAGCCAACGGTTTATTCCGTTGCCTCCCATATAGGCCAAGCCTTTCCTAGAAACCAAGTTTCTAGACGCCTCTCCTACACCATCTAAAAAAAAAAAAAAAAAAAAAAAAAAAAAAAAAAAAAAAAAAAGATGTGTAGGGGGGAAGGAACTCCCCGGATACTATTCTCCCCGGAGGCTCAACACTTCGGACATACATTCCCGAAGGCTCCTACAAAGGCACAAGAAAATCTCTCTACAATCAGTCATCTGGCTACATAGCCGAAGGCTCCCCTACATAAAGCCTTGGAGTACAACGGTTTTTCCGGAAGCCCAAGAATAGAGCTCGCTAAGCAAAACTTCACCTAAATTTGGCTAAGGCCGAAATTCGGTTGGATCAAAGTCAACTACGTGACATACCGAAGGCTCCACAAAGTTCTAAGGCAAGCTAAATCTATACCTACACAAACCGGAGGGTTCATACCGACGAAGGCGGAATACTACCAAACTCACTCACTGATGACAATTTGGTGCCCTTCGAAGCAGACTCATCAACCGAAGGGTCACTCTATGGGAGACACATCTCAGAATTTCACTAAGTCCATAATCTCGAACCCCTCGGCAACCATATGTACCGGGGGCTCAGAGCAGTTCTCATACCGGAGGGTTCACCACGCAACTATTGGAATATTGTGGAAATCTGACTAAGCCCACAACTGCGAACCCTTTGGCTCGCGGCCGTGGACTACACTGCTGATCAAGGCCCAACATTGCCGGGGGCGCATGATACAATTTCACTTGGGAATTTTCCTAAGTCTAATTCATTTTATCCCTCGGTCCTACCATACACCCGAAGGGTTCTGATCGGGTTGTGCTTATAACATGCTCTAAGTCCGCAGCAGCGACCCCCCGGCGATACTACACCACAACCGGGGGCTAGCAAGGAGTTACACTTAGAAAAATTTTTCTAAGTCCACAAACTTGTGGCCTCCGGGAACACATGCATTCATTCAAAGAAGGGAGAGCATACAAACAAAAGGAAGTAAGGCGGAAGCATACATTCTAACTCAAAATGAAGGAAGCATTCACATAAAAGAGCCCGAAGGCATATCATACATCCAGCGGAGGAAAGTGTTAAAGTACAAAAGTCGCGTTTCATTACAATGCATGGCCGAAGCCGAAGACCTATCAACTATTACAAGGAATGATACTTAGACAATTTTCAAGATTGAGCTTCCTCAGCTACGTCCTCCTTGGCCTTCGAGGCAGCGTCGTCCCCGGCCCCTTCATCCTCATCATCTTCGGCCTCCTTCGCCAGTTCAGAGTCTTCGAGCAGCTCCCTCTCTTCGCCCTCCGGCAAAGGGACCCGGACATCTGGTTGGAGCGGGGGGAGGCCATAAGCCTCAGGTTTAAAGTCCTTCAGATCAGCGCCGAAGTGCCGGGCAAGCTTCCTATAGATATTGGCCTGGGTGAAGTATTCACCGCCCTCATAATAGCTCTTGCCCTTCCGGGCCAGCCACATCGCCCCGGGACCACCCACCCAGTCATCGACACTTTCCTCAACCACCGAGGAAACCCACTGCCTCCGGTCCTCATCTTTCCAGCCCCCGGCGACAAAGGCAGCGACAGCATCTTTCTCGGCCTGAATGATGGCCACCCGCTTTGCTTCCTCGGCATTGTCAGCAGCGGTCTTTGCGGCGGCAGCAGCAAGCGTCTCGGCCTCCGCCTTGCCCTCGGCCTTGCCCTCCTTCCGGGCATCCTCCAACCTCAGCTCCGTCTTCCGGAGGGTCTCCTCCAGGATTGCCATCTTCCGGATGGCCTCGGTGTTAGTCATGACGAGCTTCCTCAGAGTCTCGTCGGACTCCGCTTTCTGGAGGCGCAATTGTTCAGCCCTCCGGACATGTTCTCCGAGGGCTACACTGGCCTATAGACACAAGAAAAGAAGTAGGGGATCAAACCACCGTAAAAGAAGACTAAGGACAAAAGGCTAAGGAAGGGGAGTATATTGAGACTTACCGTCACCGAGGCCTGGAGAAGCTTAGCGTCCAGGGCAGCATCGTCGTACCGACTCAGAGTCGACTTATCCAGCGAAGGAGTGGCCCCGTCCAAGAACTCCTTCGGGTCCAGAGTGCCATGCAGAATGGCAGTCCCCTTTTTGATGGAAAAGTGGACGTTTTCCCGGGGCCATGGCCCGTCTTCCATCTGCTCCGGAAGGGGGGGCAGCAGCAATGATTACCTGCGGTGTGCCGGAGGAGGAATGGCCCTCGGAGATGACGACTGGCGCCCCCTTCTCCCCGACAGGCTTCTTGGCCTTCTTGCCGGGGGCCTCGGCGCCTTTGGCGGGCGCCTTCCTCTTGGCGGCCTCAGCGCCTTTTGACGGCCCCTCCCCTTTCGGCACCTGGGGAACGTCTCCCTTCGGGAAGAATTGGTCAACGGGCTTCTGCTGGGAGGGCCCCCCCTCCTTTTTCTTCCCTGGCTCCTTGGCGAGCTGTTTCTTAAGCTTTGCGAAGTTCTTCGCGTCCATCTCTACACCTGAAAAAGAAGGAAAACATTGCAAGGGTGAGCCACACAACGAAAAGCATAAAAATATCCTAAGTACAAAACTAGGACCCTTCGGCAATCACCTCCGGCACTCTCATACACCCTATCTATCGGGGGGTATTCGTCGTCAGTCTCCCCCATCAGTCGGAATCGCCGGAAACCAAGGCGAAGCAGCTCCTCTGGAAGAGTGGCATCCTTGATGGACTTCTGCTTGTCCGAGCCCTCCGGCTTGGCTACCAGCTTCTTCCCCTCCTTCGCAAGAAAAGCATTCCCCACTTTAGGGTGCCTCTTAAAGTTGTCACGAAGGGGAGCAGGGAAAGGATTCTCCTCCATCCGAATGAAGCAGAATTTGTCCTTCCAACCTTTGTGGGAGGAAGGAACCTCAGAGAACAGCCTCCACTCCGGAATCTGTTGCAGGTTGGCGAAGCCCTCGCTGTTGGCATGCCCCCCCCGGCAGAGGTTGAAAGAAAGAAGAAACTGATCTAGCGAAGCCTCCACTCTCCTCTCCCGGCACAGCGACAGAAAACCCGACAGATAAGAGTGGCTATTCGGAGTAATCTGACAAGGAGCAAGCTTAACGAGGCGGAGATACTCCAGTACGAAGGGGTGGAGTGGGAACCGGAGGCCCAACTCGACCGACAACATGTGCACCGCAAAACAGCCTTCGGGGGGGCGAAGAAGCACATCATCTGGCCCCGGCTCCACCACCTGTGCCGAGGGCCCGACAAAAAACTGAGTTGCCATGTACTCCGCGTGGGTGCCCCTCGTCTTCAGTTCGAGTGCAGCCGTGTTCAAGTAAGAGTGGCCTTCAGGAATTCCTACGGGTTGTCCCACATCAACGGCGGCTTTCTTCTTCTTCAAGGCCGCCCTCACCTTCTTCTTCTTCTTCCCGGGAGCCACATTGAGAGGCTCCGGATCCAGGGGCCTAGAACTCCCCGCTCCGGCGTCGTTATGAGGGGGAGGAACAGCGATGGTCACTTCCATCCTCTCCTTCTCTTCTTCCTCCTCGGCAATTTGGACCGCGAGGGCCATCTCCTCGTCCTCAATCACTTGCTCAAACTCCTCGGCTTCGGCCTCGGTTATGAGACGCTTTTGGACCTCGGCAGCCACTTGCGAGTCGTCAATATTCGAAGGCCGCTCGCTTGAGGACTCCACCTCAGAAATGCTTTCAGATTGCACCGGGGCCTCCCTCGAGAAGTTCTGAGAGTCGGTTTGCGAAGACATTTTTGTGCTAAGGGAAAGGTGTCTAGAAGAGGAAAGCTACTTGATGCTCTTGCCGAAGGCTACTGAAAACGCTAACGCTAAATCTAAAGCCGGAAAGCAAAGTATACAGAGAAACTCAAGAACAGAGCAAGAACTGACCTCGGGAAGTTAGCTTTGATCGAAAAAAGATCTTTCTCTCACTAGAGATTTTGACAGAGCTTCGCTAGAAAGAAGGAATGCGTAAAGGAAATGAGCTCCGCCCAGGGGTATTTATAGACTCTGGGCCTCGATAGATGGGCCTCGATTGGAAAAACCCATCATTACAAACCTTCGCCTCAACCAATGGGTGGCACCCGCCCACCTTCGACCAACGAGGACACGCCACGTCAACCCCTCTTCCAACGGCTATATTACAACGACTGTATTTCGGCAACACTGGGGTGCCCTCGAATGATAGCCTCCGGTCACCACTCTCCGCAGCCCTCAGACAACAGATTCCACCAAATGTCCTCGAACATATAGCATCATAAAGCCTTCGGCTTATCAATGTTACCACCCCTCGGGGGCTCAGCAACTCATCATAACTCCTTCAGCCCGAACTCGCCCTCGGCCTAAAGGAGTGGGGGACTAGGATACACCCCTCGGGGATCGTACAGAACAAAAATTTCCTCACACAACAATTTACAATTGACGCATACAGCCTCCGGACAAACACCAAAGTGGAACGCCGTCGGCAGTCATACAGGTGTTATACTTCCCTCAGAAAACCCTCGACATGTGAGGGACTGAGGGAAGCCTTCGGCAATCAGCAGAAGGCAAGTTCTCAAGCAAGGGCGCCCAACCAAACGGTGAAGCCTCCAGAAGAATCAACACAACTACTCCTTTTCCCTCAAGTACCATTCGGCAAAAGGAGTGAGGGACTCCTGATGGAGTATATGGCCCAGGAACCCCCGGCCCATAGACTCCTACTTCTCCTGCACAAGTCCATTGAGCCCAGGAAACAACTCGGGCCCAAATACAACGGCCCAAGCCTCGAAGAAGCCCAGAATACGCACTGGGGTGCCTTCGGCCTCCTTGGCAGAAGGCTCCAAAACTCACAGGATAGCCTTCTCTAGCATAAGAAGCTACTGGGAGAAAACGGCGAAAAACATGAGCCTTCGGCATTATCAAGCCCTCGGCATCAGAGAAGCCTTCGGCTGAACAAAGCCTTCGGCTACAAGGAGCCCTCGGCTGCACAAGGAGCCCTCGGCTGCACAAGGACCCCTCGGCTACACCGGGAGCCTTCGGCTGAACTAGCTCAATCATCGAAGATTCCTTTTAGAGACAGCCAACCACCGCATTTAATACCACGTCACATCCGCCAACCGCATTCAATGCGGTGGACGTACCACTGCCGGTGCCAACCGGCTGATGTGACCCTTCGGCCGTTGGATTACTGACACGTGTCCTCTCATCGCATTTATTGCTGCTATAAATAGCAGCCCTTATTCTCCTTGTAAACCACGCTGAGTTCATTTAATAAAATCGACTCTCTCTCCTCCTATTTTGCTCTGACTTCTCTCTAGTTATTTCCGCAATAACCCCTCGGATTAGATACCCCCCGGGTAGACTATCCATCATTACTCTAATACAAGCAAGCTTTTGAGTACATTCTATTCACATTTTATATCTTAAACACTTAACCATCGTCCTTAATATCCAAAGTTGGTGTTGTGCTTGGATCTGCGAGGCTTAACCTCACCAGCGTCCTTAATATCCAAAGTTGGTGTTGTGCTTGTACTCTATAATTTTCAAAACAAGATCTTGGTTGAATCTTATATTATCAAAACACTAATTTTTCTAAATTGTGAGCTACAAAAAACAACATTAGGTCAAGAAAAGGAATATAAGAAAAGGAATATATTATGTACTACCTCCGTCCCAGGGAGAAGTTCCCAATTTCCTTTTTTGGCAGTCCCAACAAAAAGTTCTCATTTCCCTAAATGGAAAATTATCCTACATAAAAATAGTGCCAAACAGTGCAAAACAGTGCCAAACAGTGTCGAAACAGTGCCAAACAGTAAAATTTATCCCTCAGTAACTTTATTTCCTTAATATGTGTGAAAGTCAACCCGGGAACTTCTCCCTGGGACGGAGGGAGTATATTATTACATCAAGACCCAATTGAATAAGTAGGATTGGTATAGAAGAGAATGGAGTGTGAAATGTAGGCATGGCAATGGGTCGGGGCTGGGCGGGTATTGCAAGACCCGGACCCGCCCCGTGACTTGGCGGGGCGGGTCCGCCCCGCCCCGTGACCTGCACGGGTCCAAACTTGTTGACCCATGACCCGCCCCATGCGGGGCGGGGCGGGGCGGGTCCGCCCCGCCGCAACCTAATTAGCTAGTTTTTGTTTTTATTTGTAGGAAGTTGTTACCAATTAAATCTACATAATGTTTATCTCTAAATAATAATTAAAACTCAATATATTAAATCAAATTCATGATACGCTAAAAATTTCAAAAATTAAGAAAAAATTACTCAAACTTGAATAGTTAATCTAATTAGTTATATTAATAATTGAATAAATGTATTAAAATTCTATATATATAAAGAAGACATTGATAATCCGTCGTGTATCTCCTTCTAATATATATTCATATATTATAAGATCAAAGAATTTGTGATTTATTGTATACACACATATGTATGTTAAAGTATATTTGTAGTATAAGTTAAGAAAAAGTATGAATATTTATATATTGAGCGGGCCGGGTCGGGTCGGGGCGGAACGGGTCAATTCTAATACCCGGACCCGCCCCATTGTATAGGCGGGGCGGGGCGGACCCGCCCCATTTGCAAGACGGGGCGGGGCGGACCCGCCCCAAATGTCTCGGGCCAGGGCGGGTCATTGCGGGTCGGTTTTTTTTGACATCCCTAGTGAAATGTAACTTTGAACTGTTTGTGACACGTGGGTCAGCCTGAGTCAGATTCAAAAGCTTAGCCCACTTCTCATACCATAATTTTGGGCCGATGTGGTACAGCCCAGCCTGCTGACCATTCCACCTTCATTTGCGAATTGTGGTTTTCTATTCCTCCGCACAAAGCATTCCTTAAGAAGTCGGTCGACTCAGCCGTATTGCGTAGCCCAGAGAGAAAGAGGCAGGGAGAGAGACGGGGAGTTTTCTCAAAGGGTTGTTGCCCCTCTCTCCTTCGCCCATGATCATCATTCCGCCATTTTTGTACCTTCCAAACAACCCTTTGAACGTTTCTTTCATCTCGAAAGAAAAGAAACAGAAGAAGAGCAGAGAAAGATGGATTGATGGATATATATATATATATACACACACACATACATATATTTGCAGTTATGCGTTCTCTTCGAACCGCAACCTTCACGTGTTTCTTTCTGTTCTTAAGTCTTTCTTATGTGTTTCGCCTCACGACTGTGAAAAACTCCGAATCTGACGAGGCCGTGATGATATTTTGATCTGTTCTTCTCTCTTTCTGGGCTACGGAATTTGGGACATTCGGGATGACCCGGCCCGTATCTTGGCGTGGCAATCCGGAGTTGTGCCCTGTGATTTGCAGCCATGGCGGTGTCGGCTTCCCGTTTGTCCAATCGAGAAGCAGATCTGAGCCTCAATTTCTAAAATATACTTGGATCTGTTCGGATTTTGGTTGTGTAATTTTGTTATTGTGACTGTTATTTATTTTCTCCACTTGTTTACTCAAAGAT